GAACTGAGACATGTTATGACAAACTTAGGGGAAAAGCTTACGGACGAAGAGGTCGAGGATATGATAAGGGAAGCAGATCTGGACGGCGACGGGTTAGTCAATTACGACGGTTTGTAACTTTTGGTCATATTTCCACACTTTTGAATACACTATAGTTTTATCACACAATTTAAGTTATACTCACATATATTTTCAATACAGTATATTTTTAAAGTAGAATATTTTTTAGGGTCTAATATTCTGTAAACATAGTTATACAAACATATAGTGTTTATAAAACTTACATAAATTAATATTGATAACAAAAATACTTTAAAAATAAGTTTGCAATGTATTAATAAAACTTAATTAACGGATTGTTTCATTATGTTTTAAAAATGTTGAGCACTCATCAACTGTTTATTAATAATTCTAATTCTAAAACCAATATTAATTGCATCAAGAATTAACAATAAATACGTGTTTTATGTGCCTATAAAAGCTATAGCTATAATTTATAAACGTGTTTTATTACTAATCATTACGTAAATATAAGGGTTTCAAATTTTATTTTGGTCAAATATACTTTACAATAAATTATTATAAATATAAAAATATAAATTCTCTATTAATATATTCTGTTGTAAGCTTTACTTGAAACAAATGAACATGAATTTATCATGATATTCTGTATATAAAGAATATTCTATCAAATGCCATAACATATAGCCAATTAGCAAAACAATAGATGAATAAAAATGATTGTCTATTAATAGTTTCGAAACACAACTAATAATTAGTCTTTTGATGAGAAGTGACGAGAAATGCTTAGCATTAATACATTGATTATATGCAAGACATCAGTGCATACTTTGCTCCCTATTAAATGTAAGCAAATAATGTGTTATGCATTTCTGTGATTATTCTCATAATTGCATATTTATATTAGGTATCAAATATATAATTATTCATTTTATTTCAATTATTTAAGGGGTTTTCGTTGAAACAGTTGATTATCTGAATAATTACACAATCGATTTGCACAACATGTAGAATCTACATTGTAGATTAATACACTGTATAAGCAAATTCTCATTCATATTAAGGTTTTTCTAATTCTAATAACCAATCAAATGGTTAAAACAGACTAGAATTTTTTATAAGAATAACCATGCTCATTCATATTACCAAATATCCAATTTCATAGAATCATAAGCAGATACCCGATGATAAAATTCGCCATTTTTAATATAAATGTAATAATATAAAGTATGTTAGTTTAAAAATAAAATTATAATTAACTATTTGACTCGAATTATTTCTAAAAAATAATTTGGTACCAACACTGGTCAAATAATTTACACTCTGAATCTGGTTGTCTACAGTATGTCATAGATTATTTAAATACTTTGCAGTAAACAATGTGTGCAAAAGTATGCATTGATATCTAAATACAAACTACAAATAACAATATTATATACAATTAACATTAAATTAAATTTTCAATTATTGCAATTTAATAAAATAAATGTCAAATTCTCAATATTAATACTAATTCTATTAATAATTGTATTGATTTCTCCAGAATTCGTGACGGTATTAATGGCACCGAAATAAAGGAAAATGGTTTCATTGAATTGATATTTTGGAAAGTTTTTTAAATCAACTAAAAACACCATTTCTTCATAAAAAACTAATAATTTGTAATATATTATAATAATAATAAAAGGTATGATTTACACAACAAAAGTAATCAATAAGTCATCAAATGTTTGGACCACTTCTTTGATCAAACCGTCCATTAGATCAGTCATTCATTATATCATAAACAATAATAATCAACAAAACAGTTGAGAATAAATATATAATTAATTATTAGATTTTATATTTAAAAGTTAATTTTAATTACACATCAATTTAAGTGCCTTTCGATCAAATTGTATTCCATTTAAGAGTATATAAAGGGTTTATAACATTAAAAATAGTTTTAAAATATAAGCCATTAATTTATTGAATGTATTGACAATAAAAAGTTACTTATTATGTATAGTAGGAGTCGTTTACACGAAATAATGACCGAATTCTCAACAATTATCAAATTCTTTACATTTCATATCAAAACAAGCAATAAATGGATTTCTTTATAAGAGTGTCAATACATTAGTCAATATACAAATAGAGAGCATATTTAGCGCCCATTATTTCGTGTAAAAAACTTTACAACAAATAAGTTATATATATTTGATTAGAATTAACAAAAATGTTTTTTCTGTTTAAAATAAATTCAACAAATGTACAGTACGTACAACATTCACATAAGAAACCCCCATAAACTAAATCTCCATAACTATTGACAAATGTGTGGAATTTCCTATACTTGTAATGTTAACATAACAACACAAGTTCTATTGATACCCTTACACATCTTTATTAGACTTTTTAAAAAATTATAGAATTACAACTTTATAAAAAACTACCAAAATTAGTAACACCTTATAAAACAATTGAGTGAATTTATTAGACAACAATAAAATTGAATAAACAAAAATTAGTCAAATAAGAGCGTTTGAATGATAAAATATATACTACACACAAATTGTTAATTGTTTCGCTGATAGAAACGACGGTTCCTTATGTGAAAGTTGCGGTAATACACTGTAATAGTAATTAAACAAATTAAGCCTTACATATAACTAATTCAATGAAAATTAATGTTTACATAAATATCTTAATACCATATTTTGTAAAAGAGAGTGAAAATGATATATAATTGCAAACTTAAAATTATTAATAATAATAAAAACAAAACAAAATTAATTTTTTGTTATTTTATACTAAATGTATACTAAATCGTCGGTTAATTGAATTAAGAATTGGAGTTTCAATGATTGAAAAAATGATTTGTGTCGTCAAATTGAAACACATTTGCGATACAAACTTGTGGTTAAAATTATAAAATGAATTAATCGTCCGAACAATCAAAACATAAAAGGATTGCTTCATTTGATGGATGAGAGGCACCGCTATCTGTGTTGAGGACTCGTTTGGCGATTGAATCCTTTGGTACCGTCGGGTCCGAGCGGTAGGCGAATGATGGGAACGGCGTTTAATTCATTACAATTGTTAAGTAAACCTAATTTTGTTGAACGGCTTTCAGTAGTGGGCGTTGTTTTAGTTTTGCTGTTTTGGGCGCCACTACTGGTCACCGGAACGGCACCCGCAGTAGTCGATGAGTTGCTCTCTTCCTCGGGTGCCGAAGCGCTGCCTAAGATTCTAAGTCTGGCCTTCGCGTACTCGGCCTCTCTTTCCTCGTATGTCTTGCTATTGGTTTGGTTACCATTTGATGGTTTGTTTGTAGGCGACTGACCGGTGCTGTCCTTTTGCCTCTTTAATATCCTAACCTGTGGTACGTATTGTGTTCTCGTATTGTCTTCCAGTGTAATAATGGTCTGATTCTGGTTCGGGTCGTTCCCAGAGTTCACTAAACACTCACTCTCTCTGTTAATCGCCTCTCGATTTACGGGCCTTTTTAAAATTTTAATAGCATTTAAATTATCGTAAACTCTATTATTGGTATCGTTTGATGTGTTGGACAACCAGACGGACGACTGGCCGCCGGAGTCAACGCTTGAGTTGCAATTATTGGCCACAATTGGCCTCAAAGCGGACGCCATCTCTTCCTCTTTGCTTTCATTAAGTGATAATTTATTCAACTTGTGGTCCAAAACCTGATTGTAATGACAAAACACATTAAATTCATTGTAAATTCATATGTAAATCAAGTGTTAAGACTTACGCCATTCTCATCAATCATGTCTTCCCACGAGTCCAACACCTGATCAGCCATTCAGACACTCTTTGATCACAATTTCATCACAATTTACACACAATTTAATATAAAATAAATATTAAATTCATTATAAATACATTTGTGGCAAATAATGAGTTCAGTAAACGTATCGATAGTTTCACACAAATCTAGTCAACAGTAATTGAGTATTGATTTTGAATTGAATTGGCGTTCAATTCGTGAATAATATAAACAATTCAATGAATATTCAATTCAAACTCATTTCAAATAGAGATCACATTAAATGGCAATCAATTGCTATGAATGGCAACCAATCATCTGATGCCTAATCAACGCATTAATCGCTGTTTTGTTATTCATATTAAATTACAAAACAGTCAATGCATTCACAGTTCAATTGAATGCCTCTTCAATACAGTCAACACTATTACAGTTCATACAGTCATACATGCAATACGTGTTGTTTTCTATACACACATTACAAGCGCTCGACTTTTACCGAAATTCGGGAATATATGCGCAAAATACACACCAAATCTATTCAATGTATTCACACATAGTTTCCAACGCAATGTTTCCTAAAATTTATCGAACCCTTCACTCCATTAATAACGTTATAATAATAGTATCGCAAATAAATATGTGACATATTTGACACACTTATGATTGCATTGTATTTATAGTAATTGCGTTCAACGTGTGATTCACGCCTTACGCCGAACTACTTAATTGAATGTCGAGTGTCTTCTCTGCACGACATGAATGGCATCGAAATGTGTGTCAATATGTGTTGTGTTTAGCAGTGAAAGCAATACATAGCGTGTTAAGTGTGATATGACACTACTGTATGTTTGATAAACACGACAACACTGTGTGAATCTCATATATGATGGCCGAAGGGATGGACACTAAAGCCGTACGAATGGACACAATATATAGTCTGCGAGTGAATCAGGTTTGAAACTATTGAATGAGTTGTGTATGAAATGATTGCTAATGTATTGATGCATAGATTGACTCGAAATCGTTGGACTCGGAGTTGAATGCAATGATTGAGACCAAAGTGAATGACTTAGAGGTGAATACAGATTAGCATTGATTTGATGTACAATTGAACTAACGATGGATTGAATGCATAGTCGGATGCGTTGAGAGGATTGAGTCCAGAAGTGATGGCATTCATAAAGGCATACATTTGGATGAATACAGTGCACAGAAAGGGCTCATCCATTGGACAGGCATTACTTGAACTGAAATATTATGATTTGAGTGACAATACAATTGTCGGTCATTTGAATGCATACCAGAAGTCAGCGATGGTTTGCACGCAAATAGTGTTTCCATGGCTTCAACAACGAGTCAATAGCCATCGTATCGGACATTACATACATATAATCGACAATTTGTACAAAACATGTGATTTGATAAACGGTTTGATATTTTTATATAACGGCAAATACAGGACGTGTTGGGAAGCGGTGATGAGAATGGGAACCGGTGTTCAGTCCGATCACCACAACTGGTCCCACAATGAGCTGTATTTAGAGATTATGAATCGGGAGCTGTTATGGCATACATTCGCGCAGTTGTTGTCATTTGTGTTGCCGTTAATAAACTGGTATCGATTGAAGAACTCATGTGTTAACACTTTTCGCAGTCTTATCTCGTCTTCGCGTCCGACCATTGAATCCAATATCGGTTTAAGAGTTAGCAATGATCTCAACAATTGTGTCATTTGTAACGAGTGGCCAATCAATGGCCATGAGATCGGTTGCCGACACGTCTTCTGCTACTACTGTCTTATGTCTAACTTTATGTCGGATCCGATGAATGGCTTCACATGTAATGAGTGTTTATATCGAATCAAATCAATTGATTGCATAAAAAGAGTTAATTTTTCATATTTTCTAAAATAATTATAAATAAAACTAATTTTTTAAATTTGGAGCTCTTTTTCATGTAATGAACACATTATTTATGGATTAATGGATTTGCGCTCAAATGACATCATTTCCGGTTTGTCTACAAAATAGCGGACAATAAAGGCATCGATTTGTGACAATACCTCGTATTTACATTAAATACATTTATTTTTATATTTAATTCAACAAAATATTGTCAATTAAATGATTGTTTTATGTTTTATTGAAATACTTTTTAGTAAACGAGTTGTTAATTGCGGTCATGTTTAGCGACTGTTCATAGATTACGTCCAACAATATGCGAGCGCTTTGGTTGGGAGCCATTCAAATATAGCGTACAGTTTGGAGCGTTGATTGACTCCCTATGGGATGTGTTGGTTATGAGTGAATGTATGGAAAATTGTGAAGCACTGAACCCTCTGTGGCTGTGAATATGTGTTTGGTTAGTATGTGTGACTGTTTAGTTCGTAAAGCTGTGGCTTTGGTGATAGGTTTAAATGGAGTTGTAGTACAGCATGTAATGGGAATGAAGGCAACATTGATTGGTGTGTTGAGTGTACGTACAGTACAGACAGTACAGCAGTATTG